GACTAGATAGGTGGATAAAAATGCCAAATCCAGTCTAAACATCTGGATGACTTTGCAACCAACCATAACACACTATTCTTTAATATCTTGCTAGATCATTGCAGGTAAGGTATTCGTTTTTTATTAACATCCTTGCAAGTTCTGTGTAATGTTTTATTCAAAAGCATGGGTCATTAAGTAAGAATTACTCTTGCACTAAATGTACTATTGCTATTATTCATGTTGTTTCTCTTTATTATGTAACTTCATTACATTTGTAATCCTTGTTAAGAAAGTCCAGTAGGAATTTTCAAGTGTTCATTTTTAAAAAAATAATAATTATAAGTTGTAATTTGTTCCTGTGAGAACAGTGATATGATTAAAGTTGTGTTACATACCTGAAAGAAGATATAAAATTAGGTAGATAAGGTAAATACTATAGATAATATTAAGCCAATTTTTAAAGACAGTACAGAGGATTTTTTTTCCAGTTCCCCTGTGTGTTTGTGTCCCAGACTATGCAAGAGGCAGAAAATTAAATTAGGATTTGGGACACTTAGATTAAACTCCTATTCTAGTTGAACAATTATGTAGAATTGGCAGATTCCCAACTGCTAGTTTTTGTTACAGAATGTTAGAAACAAACATACATAAAACTGAAGACACTTTTGCTACTGAAGCCAAAACTAGAATCAATGTTAATCCATGCCATTGGGAAGGAGTTCATTATTAAGTAGTCACTTAAATAGCTGTAGAGCAAGTAAGAAATGTGTCTGGTTTGCCTAATTATGAGAATGTATATTCAAAAGAGAAGAGGCTGGAGAAAAAACAAGTGAATTGAGAGTGAGCTAGAGGTATTAGGTGACTTCCTTAAGTAATATTAAATCTTGAATGATCTGGTTGAGATGAAGGGGGTGGGGAGGAAGGCCTTTTAACCTACTCGCTTCAGGAAAATTCTCTTCCTCATTTTAGTTCTTCCATTCTGCTCATCAATTTCTTATCCCCAAGAGAGTAATTAGAATAAAGATTTTGATGTCAGTTTTGGAACTAGTTACCACTGCCCTCTCCAAGATGTTTTCTAATGCCCACTATAGCCTGCAATCCCTTTATTCCATGGAAACTTTAATGGCTCGACAGCTCCTTTATTAAGGACTACCAGGATGCCAATGCTTCGCCATGAAACTATGTGATCGGGTAAGTTTTGGGGGAGGAAAATAAGGGGAAAAAATTGTGCCTCTGCCTACCAGCATCCATCAGTATTCATCTGGCTAGCATCCTGTCAGTGTGTGAAAGAGTTCAGGGCTGTTTGGAAACTGAAGCAGTATTTGCTGTGTGAGCAAGAAGGAGACAGCAAGAAGCCTGGGTGTAGCTTAGCTGAACTGCAGTTGGAAGAGATTTATTTTCAGGTGGAGAGGAGTAGTAGTACTCCTTAGCATCAGAGCATGTTAATAATAAAAAAAGAAATACTAATGCTCTGGTCATTTTGAAAAATCCTTTGTTAGCGAGCACCAAGAAGCCAAGAGGAACATACGTGCCAAATTTCAAGTTTGTAGGCTTTACGGTTCTGGAGATTTTGTGATAATGCATGAGTGCTTTTTCGCTTTTATATATATATAGACATAGATTATTGGTGTTGAATAGTGCTTCCAAACATACCTATAATTTACAACTCTTTTTGTGATGATAAGAATTAGAATTTAATCTCCATGATTCTGGGCAAGAGGCGACACCATAATTTCAAACTATGCAGACATCAGTGTGTTCAATTTTTAAAGAAGTGTAACATTTTGTGTCAAAAATTTCCTTAGAATGGTCTTTATCCAGCTCATATAACAACTACAGGTAGTCCCCAAGTTATGACTTGAGCCCAAAATTTATGTTGCTAAGTGAAACATTTAAGTGAATTTGTCCCATGTTATGACTTTTCTTGTCATAGTTGTTAAGTGAATCATTGCATTTTTAAAGTTAGTAACATAGTTGTTAAGTGAATCTGGATCCCCCATTGACTTTGCTTGTCACAAGGTTGCAAAATCTGATCACATGACCTCAGGATACAGCACCCATCATAAATATGAACCAATTGCCAACCCCTGGAATTTTCATCATGTGACCAAGGGGATGCCGCAACGATTGTAAGTGTGAAAAGCAGTCATAAGCCACTTTTTTCAGTGCTGTTGTAACTTTGAATGGTCATTAAATGAACTGTTGTAAGTCGAGGACTACCTGTACCAGAAATCGTTAAGTTGCAAGGAATTTTAACTTTAGTGAAAATGCCAAATGTTGTACCCATCTTCAACAAGCAATAGCTAGGGATTTGAAAAAGTGTTGTCATAATTCTAGACTACACTCTCTAGAGCACAGAAGAACCATAGGGATATATACTTTAGGGGATATACGCAGAAAAATGTAGTTTTTATAGAAAAATGCAATTTTCTTGTAAAACAATGCTTTAAAATATTGTGCGCAATGCACTGGAGCTATGCAAATCCTTTGAAAGAGTGCATGAAGCATCCTTTTAAAAATAATTAAAGCAACTACATCCTTTCCCAGGCTTGTATGTGACTTATGTGGCTACTCCAATTATACATGCACAACCATTTTACGCTGCTGTCCTTTCAATCCTATAATAGCATATCCACAAAGAGCATCTGTAGCTTTAAGATATGCAAGAAAGAGCAGATACAGATGCACAATTAGAGATTTTTCCCAATTCCTAAATGCTAAAAAGCTAAACCAAATATAATTTGTGGATGGAAAGGTTAGAGATTTAGCAAAAGCAAAATTGACAGGAATCATCCCTCCCTAGTCAGCAATGCTCAATTTCGTGTCACTGATAAACAGTAAGATGATGGATTGTGGTTTTTTGCTGGAAGAAATTCCCTTAGATGGAGTGACAAGTTAAACAACAGATGTCTGACTGATTAAGGCAAGGATGTTATTATAATTATGATAAACATTTATATAATACTTTAATACTTTTAGAACATTTTACAAACCATATGTAGTTTTTCATAATATGCCTTCAAGGGATAACAATATTGTTGTTCTGTTATCATTATACCCATTATTGAGATTAAATCTGAGAAAATGTTCACCTGTCACCTACTCAGTATGATCACGATCGAGATGGGATTTGAACTAGCGATTTTCTGCTTCAAATGAGCATTTTCTGTTCCTAATCAACCCCACTTCATCTTCTAATATAATAGTATTGAGTACAAGATGCAGCTACAGCAGCTGTCATCATTAAAAGTTCATTGTAGCAACATCCTTACCCAATGAAAAACTTTTTTGTGAGATGCTATCCGGTGGATCTTTCCTAAAGGACTTTAGGCTCTTTTCTAAGACAGTTATATGTTAGACCTGTGACTGCTACTAATTCATCTTGCTTCCCAGCAGAGTGAGGATTCAGGGAGAGAAGGCAGATTTCTTTACTAAAAACAAGGACGGTTGCTAAGTGACACTTCCACTATGCTTAGAAGCCAAAATCAGTGACTAGCTGTGACTTCAAGAGGAGTGATTTTCAGCTGTGGAAGATACACACAGTGACTCACATTGCAGAAAAGCCGTAAATCTTGGTAGTATTTGTAGATTAATACAGACCCATATACTACTGTAAAAGTGTGTGGATGTGCAATCCGTTGAGCAAGGCCAACAGTTCACAATCAATTACATATACAGTTTGCAATAATTTATGCATTAAAACACATGTCTGTGTCAAGGAATTACATAGCAGCTGTCCAGATGAAGTTGGAGACACTAACACAGACTTGTAGTCATACACACACACACATAAGTCTTTATCATCACCCAGAAGGAAAGAATATAAAATAACCAGGAACACAGGAATACCATGAGGTAAATTAATCAGTATATACTATAGAACACAAAGAAGAAAAAGGCGGGGAAAAGGGGAAACGCCTCCCCCTTTGTACTTCCAGCAACCAAGTATAGTGTAGATTGCCTCATGCATGAGTCAGCAACTTCTAACCAATCAACTACAGGCCTATTGTACGCTTGAAGTTTCCAGCTACTAAATTCAATATCCTAAAATCCTGCATTTGTGAAATCAAACATAAGGGATATTTTCAGAGTTTGGAGAATGGAATATTCTACTCTGGTATATATGTGTGCTACCCACTGAATCTACTGCAGCAGACTATGTGAATCCTGAAATATAAGCATACAAGCCCAATTCATAAAATAAACACACTGAGAGAGCTTCAAGTAATTATACAAGTGTGATTCGCAGATATTTTTTTTTTACAACCTACACACGCTAAAACTTTTAAAGTAAGATGTCCATGTTAACTGTGTATAGTACTTAAACAATTCATGCATTCACATTTTTGTTTGATTCCTTATGAACTTTTGCATTAACCAACGTAGGAATATTATTCATACTTTTTCTACACTTGTGCAGTTGGAAAAGGGCAGTCCCTTGAGAGATTATACAGAAAAACTCATTGGAAAAAAAAAACTAAAATTCTATAAGGAAATAGAAATTTCTGCCTCAGTTGGCTATTAGGGCCCTAATGATGCAGTAGTTAGAATGAAGGATTGCAGGTTAACTCTGCCCACCGCCTGGGGGTTTGATACTGATGGGGTTCTAGGTTGACTCAGCCTTCCACCCTTCTGAGGTTGGTAAAATGAGGACCCAGACTTGTGGGCAATATGCTGACACTGTAAATTGCCCAGAAAGTGCTGTAGAGCACTATGGGATGGTATATAAGTCTAAAGTGCTATTGCTATGATTAGTTGAAATAATTTCAGCATTCAAATAGCTTAAGGGACTCACTGATGAAATGATGATCCTGACACCCTAGGAGGAGGAAGCCCTCCTGACAGACTTAATAGAATAACAGAGCAAATTGTTAGTAAGTCAACACTGAGGAAATCATTATGAGACTTTTAACAAAACAAGAATACACTTAATTGGCCTTGGCAAACCTCCAAAGTCAACTCCATGGATGTTTGGAAACAAAAGGACTAAGGATGATTGATTCATTGATTTATACTACCTGTGAGAGTTCTTCTCCTGGTCCGTGTTGATTCACAATCTGAAGTGCATGCTGTAAACTTAGACCAAGGAGTAAACATGCAGTCATCTTTGCAAGGCACTGAGCAATCCTGGACAAGGGAAGGCATCGGTCCTGCCCACTTCAAACACTCACTGGCATCTACTGAATGATTACCTTCCAAGGTGCATGTCACAACTGCAGAAAATGAATGAATAAATACAGACAGAAATAAATGATTTGAAACTCCTTGGAGGCACAGGATGAATTTAGAATCAAAGATCTACCATCAAGGTTTTTTTTTTTTTAAGTAAATGAGATTTAATCAAAAATGAAAAATACATATTAAGCTATTTTTGATGATAACTGTTTTGTGGAATACTATACTGTTTGTTTTTCAGAACTGTGTTTGTATTTCAAAGAAGGTATTTTCTTTTTTTTTTCTTTACACATTCTAATATTGCTTATTATCTCTGTTCTCTAAATGTTTTAAGACTTGCAGAACATTCCAGAGTGAACATTTAGACAGTTGTGATAATCATACTACTCAGGGGTGGGATCTGACCGGTGTAACTACTGGTTCGGTGATTTTGCGATTTGCGCATGCGTGTGGAATGTCGTCAGCTATGCTGCCCGGCCAGCTGAGCAGTGCTGCGTGCAGGTGCGCAGCGTTTGAAAAAGCACTATTTTCCTGCTTTTTCAACCACAGCTGTGCCGCGCAAAGCAGCTGAGGTTGAAAAAGCAGGAAATAAAGGTCAGGTAAGAGCCCGGGCGGGCGGGTGGGCCAAAACAGCCGCAGGCATAGAACCGGTTCTATGTCTGCTGCTCTTCAGAGCTACTGGATCTACAGAGCTGGACAGAACCGGTAGAATCCCACCCCTGATACTACTGTACTATCACCAACAAAAAATAAAGAAGAAAAAAGGAAGATATTTATTGACTCTATAAAGATCACTACAGAATTACGGCTAGGATTAAAACACAGAGAATGATTTCTTCATATAAATACAAATTAAAACTTTTTCAGGAGGCTATTTTCTTTTCTGGAGAAGAGCTTTATCTGTTAGGGATGCACAATGGATTATCTATGTTAACATAAAACACTTAGAGGGAAGATTAAGAATACAATCCTGCAAAGCAAAATCCTCCCCAGTGGACTATTCCCATGCAAAACAGCGGAAAGAATGTCACAGTAATTAGAGAACCTTTAAGCAGCCAGAAATAGCAAATTCTATACATAAGAGGGAGATTTCTGCAGATGGACAGGAAAACAGGTAGTCTATTGAATAACCACAATTGTGATTGTTAAACAAAGTGGTTGCTAAGTGTAACCTTGATTATTCTTATCATCTCACTTCACTTTTCCTTTGTTTTATATCTGCAAAGCTCATAAATGTATGAGTTAATCACAAAATTATCTTTTCATCCCCTTTGTGACTATGAAATTCACTATATGTCATGCCTCTGTTAGAATCTGATTCCGAGGGAGAGGTGGAACAGCTGACAGGGAGTGGGAGTGGGGCTCCAGTGGCTGTGGAGGAAACTGGGGAAGGGCACAGTCTGGCTGGGCATTCCGGGGAAGAACCCAGGCCCTCTCCTTCTTCATCCTAGGGCACGCAGGGAGGATAAGGGAGCAACGTGGGTTACGGGGGGGGGGGGAGAAAAAGACCCTGATTCCCTTCATTAGCTGCAGCTGGGAAAACAGGATAAACAGGATGTTTGTGCACAGCTCCTTGCTGGAAGAAAAGCGTGAATTATTTTGGTTTGTCAAGTCTTATTTGAGTTCTGGCATCCTCCCAACCGTGTGTGTTTTGTTATCTTCTAAAGTCTTCAATTCCTTATCCTGCCCTGTCTCGTTCATTGCTGCAGCATGGTTTGTGTTGGTTTTTATTTATAATTTATATGTACTTTGGATTCGGATGGAATTTCCTCCCTTTAAAAACGGTGTGTGTGTGTGTGTGTGTGTGTGTGTGTGTGTGTACATCTACAATTTTTTGAGAATTTTACATAAATAAAGCAGACATATAAAGAAAAAGAACTAGAAACAGCAAAGTGCAAAAGTAAAACAGAAACATAAAGGTAAAGAATAAGAATCCGAAAAAATAAGTGACCCAACCTTTTTTTCAGAAGTATGTTTTCTTTAATCAATTATTTCAAAAATATTTTATTAACATAGCAATGCTTCAAATTAAACTGTCCCCTTTAGTGAGATTGCACACTTAAGCCCTGGAGGACCTGGGAAGGGAGAAGCCTGCAGGATCAGGAAGGAATTGTTGGTGACTTTTGAGTATAATGCCTGCAACTGTGGAAGGATATAACAAGCTCATAGCCTCAGGTGAAGCTGTTTCAAGGATACTGGATTCACCCAATCCACTTTCTTAAGCGCATTTGGACAAAAGAATTTAAAGTGAAAAGAGACCTTCAAGCCACCTGGTTAAGTGTACTTTGAATCCATAGGAAGGATTATGGTAAAGAAAAAGAAAATAATTATAAGGATTTAAAAGCAAAAAGCTTGCTGGGAGTGTGGGTTAGTTTAAAGTTTAAAAATGGAGTATACTTTAGAGCGTTGCTGCATTAAAAGGTATTTTGGAAATGATTAAATAGGACAGAAGTCTTAAACACCCACTTAGGACTAAACCAGTTGACTGATTCAGGATGGGGATCAAAAATTGTGCATAGAACAGGATACAGTTGAATGACAAGAGTAGTGAACAGAAGCACTCAACATGCAGATCCTGTTTGTCATACTGTGAGCCCTCCTATTAAATATTTTGTTGTTGTTAGTTGTGAAGTTGTGTCTGACCCATCGTGACCCCATGGAAAATGTTCCTCCAGGCCTTCCTGTCCTCTACCATCTTCTGGAGTCCATCTAAGCTCATGCCTACTGCTTCAGTGACTCCATCCAGCCACCTCATTCTCTGTCATTCCCTTCTTCTATCACCGCCCTCAATCTTTCTCCGCATTAAGCTCTTCTCCAGTGACTCCTTCCTTCTCATTAGGTGGCCAAAGTATTTGAGTTTCATCTTCAGGATCTGGCCTTCTAAATTGTTATTAAATATATGTAAAACAAATCTCAATAATCCACTAAGTCAAGACTGAGTAATCTTGACAAAATCAACAAAGGTGTCTTGTTACTGGAAGATATTTATATTATATCTTGATAATATATTTTTTTGAATAAATCTTAACAGCCACAACTGCAAGAAATACATCATGCTCCTGATTTGATTCATCCTTAGAAGATAGAAGAGTATCAAGACCAGAAATTACATACAGACAGTCCCAACCCTAACAACGCTAGAAAAAAGTTTTTAGGATTCGCTATTACCGACATCATCTTTGTCATTCAGTTCTTCAAAAAGAATCATATCCCATCTAACCAATAGAAGGCTGCCATTTCTGTGTGAAGAGGTAGAAAGTAGAGGCAGAGTACCCAGCTGCCGAGAGTATCCTCAGTGTTTGGCACAACTGGTGACATCTGGTAGCAGCTTGGTAATGGGAAAGCAGGACTAATCCATGTCAGATGAGCTGAGTCACTAGCGGATTTCAACTAGCAAGTCTCAGCTAGAATTAACCCTAACTCTCAACAATTCAAGAGCTTCCAGCAGATACTATTATTGTTGTTGCTGTTGTTGTTGTTGTTGTTGATCAGCTAACAAAAGGATTCCAGTGATTTATGTGTCACTGAGAACAACTATGCCATAACACTTTTGTGCCTCTGCTGCCCTCTGCCCCTCTGTTGTAGCAGGAGACCCAATTTCTGCCTGTCCCTTCTTTCAGTGGCAGTAACACTGATTATCTTCTTGGATTGTCTTGCCTGCGTGCAGTGGCTTACAACATTTTGTAATCTAGCTCTTTCAATATCAGCCAACCATGCATGTCATGCCCTATGCTACATACCTGCTGCGCTTTCTTGGAAACTTTAATCCTGAATTGACTCAGGCTGTAAGTACTGCTTTGCCCTGTGAACTTGATTTCCTTTGAACTCGGACTTATTTATGATTGTGTCTTTGTTTGCTGGATTTACAACTTCACACAGACTGGCTCAGCTTGAGAATGGGACACACAGCAGGTTTGTTCACCTCTCGGGCCAACAACAAAAGTTTTACCCTCTGGCAGAATAATCCCACCCTTATAAGCTATTACTCTGTGGGAAAAATAGTACTACCAGATACATTATTTTATGAGGAAAGTATCATTTACATGTACCCTGAGTTCAATTCCAACTGAGAGAGTCCCTGTGAGCTGACCAAGGCACCATTTTGCCCTGGTATTTGAAAGACATTTGACTTTGTAATTCCTGAAGAAGTGGACAGGAGCTTAAGACTACTAAACTGGTTATCTGTCATTTAAATCCATATCCACCCTGGCTAGTTAACACTTCAATGTGAGTAGCTTGTTGCTGCAACCATGTAATGGTGTATGTATGTATGTATGTATGTATGTATATATAAAATTCATAACGCCATCCATCTTACATATGAACTCTGGGAGGTTAAGACTAAATAACAAAAACATATAATAACACTTCTATAAATCCAACAGAAGAAATATAATTAATGTAATTAATATAATCATACTACAATAACTTAAGGACTGTGTAACAAATTCAATCACACAATCACTCTATTGTGTTCATATATTATTTTGATCCAAGATCTTAAAGAGGGAAGCTTTAAGATGTCATCATAGACGTCCAGAAGGAAAGGAGAGTTAGGGGCCTCCAGACCACAGGAGAGAGGCTGTTTCATAAGGCTGAATGAGGAGGTGGTATTGTCTCTATCAGAAGTAATCATTGGACCCAACAGTGATGGACAATTTTTGTCCATTCTTTTCTTCAAGTTTTCCTTTTATACCAGGATTGCTTCAATAGAGGGTCCTAGATAAAGCAGATTATTAGGACTGCTACAGAGCCTATGAAGGCAGTGCTAGTTGATGATCTCTGGGGGAATCAGGATAAGATGGCGGAACATTTCTGGTTTTCTGTGATTTGTCAGTAGCTTTCAATACCATTGATCATGACACTCTTCTAGAATGCCTCCAGTGATTGGGAAAGGAAGGCACAGTACTGCAGTAAATCTCCTGTATTTGTGTGCGAACATTTCTACACAAAAACAGTTGATGCTGATGGGGAGATAGGTTGACCTCTGTTTAAATCAGTTTGAAGAAGGGGCTCTTTCTCCATGGGCTGGATTAAG